TACAACTTGTTAAAGCATAAAACTAGTTTTAAACACATGGAGTAAACATCACTATGGACAGCAATCTCACTTTTGATAATCACATTCACCTTTTTACGTCTAATACGTCTTCATCATTTTGGACAGCTGTCATAAGTTATTTAGATTAATATTCAAGTTATCAGCAGATCAGTTTTACTTTATTCAGAATACAGTAGAAAGCCATGTTTTGCTATTAAAAAGGTTTCAACCTACATTATGATAATCTAATGGGATGTATTTCTTCTTCTTCCTCTGCAGTCATTCCACAGCACATGGCCGTTGAGGAAGATGCATTTGCTGACCAGAAGTGCTGTAGCAAAGAGAGAGACTCCAGTCTGAACCAGAAGCAACGAGAGACCCCTGAGTTTGAAAAGGAAAATATCTCTGAAGGTGAGCCAGATGAACAGTCTGTAAAATCTGTTTGTAGAGAGCCTCTGAGGGTTGACACGGAGGAAAAAAACCTCCACGAAAGTTGGAAGCCATTTAAGTGCGAAACGTGCGGGAAAACCTTCCTTTGTGATCGATCTTTACTGATCCACACGAGAAGCCACGAAGGTGAGAGAAATGTTTACTTTCTACGTCTACAAACCTCTAAGAATTTTGGGCACACATGAAAATCTACTGAGAAGCGTTTTTTTAATGTAAAACTGTCAGGGTTATGCCCCTAAACACTTCTGAATTGGCTGCTGAGAGAGGACAAATAGACACAGTAAGTACAGTGAATACTTGCAAGGAGAGCGGCTGAGACCTTACAATCTCCAACCTACTCTGAGCTGTCTCGCTGCTCCCCTCTCCCTTTATTTGGTTCCACCCTATCACAGCTTTGTGACTTCATTTTCTCCAAAGACAGAAGGAGCACACATGTTTGATTACACATCGTTCTTAATCACAGGATGCCACTGATTGAACAGAAAAGACAGCTGATGTGACAGGAGGAACAAAGTGCAGTTGTTCCTCTGTTTCAGCGGCCAAAAAGGAATGTGGTCTCAAGGGTCACTACTGTGGTCAGCAGACACCATTATATGCAAAACAACTTGTGCTTATGACAGGCCTTTCTTGGTAACACACAAGCACAGTTAAACAATTAAATACACACACACATATGTAATTCAGAGAATGCATGATAACTTATGTACCATTGTTCTAACAAAAACAAGTGGAGAGGGTTTCATTTGTAAAAGTAGGCTAATAATCCCTTTGTTTATCCAGACTGGTGAGAAACCCTTATCTCGTAGAATATGTGGGGAAAATTCAAGTCTTCTAATCCCACATACTTTACTCGTAAACAACTTCTCACCAGTGAGGATCCACCACTGGATTCCTATAAGATAATAAAAAATAACTGCTTGTGTTCTTCTGTCTCTGCAGTCATTCTGGAGCAGCAGGTCTGTAAGAAGAAGGATGTCTTTGCTTACCAGACACTCTGTAATGAAGAGAGAGATTACAGTCAGAACCAGGAGGAACCAGAAACCCCTCAGATTAAAGAGGAACATGAGGAACTCGGCACCAATCAAGGAGAGCAGATTGAAGTGGAGACAGCGACTAATGCTTTCACTTTGAGCATTTCTCACCAAGAATGGGACTTTGGCAAAGTAGACACAGACCCTGACCAGCCAAACTCTCAGACCTCCCCCTTAACTGAGAGGCAAAATCAGGAAGGGATGGATCCCACAATCATAGGATCCAGCAAAGTTACAGAGATGAAGCCAAAGAATGGATCTAATGGAGACATGGGTCACAGCAACGATGATAATTCTGTCCTTTCAGAATACAAGTCTAATGGTGAGTCAGATGAACAGTCTGTGAAATCTGTTGGTAAACAGTCTTTGAGGGATAAGTGTGATGAGAAGACAACTGGCACCACCCCCAAAAAATTTAAAAGACAAACCTGCACAACATGTGGGAAAAGTGTTACAAATTCTTCTTTTGTGAAACACATGCGAATACACACCGGTGAGCGACCTTTTTCTTGCAAAGTATGTGGGAAATGTTTTTCTCAAAGTTCAGGTCTTGTGAAACACATGAGAACTCATACTGGGGAAAAACCTTTTTTATGTCCAACATGTGGGAAAGGTTTTTCTCGAAAAGAATATCTTAGTGTCCATAAAAGAACCCACTCAGGTGAGAAACCATTTGTGTGCACTATATGTGGAAAAGGTTTTTCTCAACAAGGACACCTTACTCTCCATAGAATAATCCACTCAGGTGAGAAAGCTTTTGTGTGCACTATATGTGGGAAATGTTTTTCTCTAAAAAATTCTCTTAATACCCATAAAAGAACCCACTCAGGGGAGAAACCTTTTGTGTGCACTATATGTGGAAAATGTTTTTCTGTAAAATGTAATCTTGATATCCATAAAAGAACCCACTCAGGGGAGAGACCTTTTGTATGCACTATATGTGGAAAAGGTTTTCCTGTAAAACGTTCTCTTGATTACCATTTAATAACCCACTCAGGGGATAAACCTTTTGTGTGCACTATATGTGGAAAAGGTTTTTCTCAAAAAGGTTCTCTTGATGTCCATAAAAGAACCCACTCAGGTGAGAAACCTTATATGTGCACTATATGTGGGAAAAGTTTTACTGCAAAAAATCATCTCGATGTCCATAAAAGAACCCACTCAGGTGAGAAACCTTATATGTGCACTATATGTGGGAAAGATTTTTCTCAAAAAATTTCTCTTGATATCCATAAAAGAACCCACTCAGGTGAGAAACCTTATATGTGCACTATATGTGGGAAAAGTTTTTCTGCAAAAAATCATCTCAGTCGCCATAAAAGAACCCATTCAGGTCAGTGATTGTTTTCTTGTGGAAATTGTTGGAAAGATTTTATCCTGGACTAACGATTGGATGTTCATGAAAGAGTCCACAAAGACAGGAAAAAGTGTTCATGATTTGTGTGATGGACGCCCCATGTTTGTATGGGTTTACCCCCACTGTCAGTTGTTTTAGAGTTTGTAAATTCTTAGAGGCTTCAGGTGAGACTGAGACTGCTGCCACGGGCCTGATGTTTGCTTGACGAGCCCGTTCAGGTGAAGGTGGCCGGATTGAGGCCGAGACAGGTGGTCACCCTGAGAGCCAGATCCACGGATGAGAGAGGAGTGGTGTTCAGCTCCTCCGCCTCCTACCAGGCAGATGGCGGAGGGGAGATCCACCTGGACAGGGACCCCTCCATCGGGGGGAGCTACGTGGGAGTGGAACCAATGGGTCTCCTGAGATCCCTGCGGCCAGAAGCCTTGCACAAGGACTTTTATAAGAACAAGACATTACACTCTCATATCGTAAACTTCTTTGTGCATGAGGACGGGATTCTGGCGGGGTCGACCGATGAGAGGCTTCTGATGGGAGACGGGATCTTTCGGGTTCTTACTTAAAACACTGAAGTAATTATGTTAAATTGCATGTGTCTGCAATAAAAAGTTTGACATTTTAAAGGAAAAAACAGACTTTGATCTCTAGCATACTCTGTCTAAAATATTAAATGCGTAAACATATGATTTATAACATGATTTGCAAAGGAAACCCATTTAAGAACTTTGATTTCTGTGAAATATTGGTGTTTGGATATATGTATAAATATGTGTATGTATATATATATATATATATTATTGCCACTGCAAAAAAATCTAAGTCATGCATAGAGAATGTAATCACAATTATAAACACTTTAATAATCCCAGAGGGAAATTATTAACGTTATTAAATGTATTTAATATTTAATCAAATGTATTGATATTATTAACACTGTTCTGTTTCCTTTCCACTGTCAGGTTTTCAGCCTTTGTTTTTATGTATTTCGATATCAATAAATTGATACATCAACAATTTATCCTGTTAAAAAAAGTACTTTTTATTAAGTTCTCAGTCTTGTGTAATGATGGGACTTCCGTTTGCTGTTCACAATAAAAGACAATTGGAAGCGTTCGGGAAATTGGATTTATTCTGAAGTTTTCTCAAAGTGCTTCCGGTTACTTTGGCTAACGTGAACACACACTCAACCCACTTTGACGGTGTTCATGAGAGTGGGTGAACTTTAGACCTACATCTTTGGCTATCTGAAGCAAACGGGGGGGAAACGTTGACAAACTGGAGGCGCCTCCGTGTTGGTGAAGGTACGGCGACTTTCGGCTCTGTGCGCGCGCTGTTTTTTACCTGGAAAGTTTCTGGACGCATTTGTGGCCGTTTACGAAGTCAGGAGAAGTTGAGCTCCGAGGATTTGCTGAAATGGACATGGAGCTCATACCTCACAAAAACAAGGCCACTTTCAACGTTTATTAACTTCTATTTGCCTCCATCTTTGACTGTTTGCAAGTTTTCAAAACTTAAAATAATTGACAGATTAGGACTTTTTTTTTCCAGTCATTCTACTTCACCACATTGTTTTACTGAATGTTTTTATTTTAAGTTGCACCTCATTACAATTTTTCTGTTGAAGTATCTTGATGAAAAGAAGTATGACTGTTAGTAAACAAAGTGTACCAGATAATTAACTTCTGCGGGGTTAACCGTAAGTCCCCACATTCCTACGGTTGTTTGTTTGGGTTTTCTGTTTCAGGCAGGTGGGAAAAGGAAGATGTCTGCCCAGGCGAGGCTGAGGCTGCTGCCCAGCGCCAGGTGTTTGTTGGACGAGCCCGTTCAGGTGAAGGTGGCCGGGCTGAAGGCCAGGCAGGTGGTCACCCTGAGAGCCAGCTCCACCGACGAGAAGGGCGTGGTGTTCAGCTCCTGGGCCACCTACAGGGCCGATGGCAGCGGGGAGCTCCACCTGGACAGGGACCCCTCCGTCGGGGGGAGCTACGTCGGGGTGGAGCCCATGGGCCTGCTGTGGTCCATGAGGGCGGACAGCCTGCACAAAAGGTTTCAGAAGACAAATCCCCTCAACCCCCACGTGGTGAACTTCTCTGTGCACGAGGAGGAGGGCGGCACGCTGGCGGAGGCGACCAATGAGAGGCTTCTGATGGGGGACGGGGTCAGCCGGGTTCCTGTCAAAGAGGGGAACATTCGTGGAGTGCTGTTTACCCCCCCAGGTTTGCAAATGTTTGGTCATAGAACACCTCATATGGGGCATTTGATTACACAGTGAATCTTGAAAGAGGTCTGAAATATTTAGATTTCCCCAGTGTGCAGGTTTATTCCTCTATCAGTTTTAGTGTTTTTGAAAACACTGGGGTCTGAAGAACCACAAGACTTTTAGTAAGTTTAGGCCTATTAAAGGTTTAACAGTTTGTGAGCAGTGTCTCTGTACTCCTTTGTTTCTTAGTTTTAACTAGATCTAAAAAAAATCCCCCGTCAGATAGTTTTTAACAGGGTCTAAATTCAATAATGAACGTGCGTCGATAGAATCTCCTCACAATGTGTGGTATTTTAGGAGAAGGGCCGTTCCCCGCTGTGTTGGATCTGTACACGTTCGGCGGAGGCCTGTCGGAGAAAAGAGCCTCTCTGCTGGCCAGCCGAGGGTTCCTGGTCCTGACTGTAGCGCTGTACGGCCATGACGACCTGCCAAAGAACATCCAGGAAATCCACTTGGATTATTTTGAGGAAGCTGTGGAGTTTTTAAGGAAACAAGATAAGGTGAGGCCATTTAATCAAATGTGAGAAACTTGGAGCTGGAGGACGCACCGGACAGGAGAGATTGTTCATTTGTTTTTCTTCCACAGGTAGGCAGCAGAGGAGTTGGTGTAATATCTCTTTCAAAGAGCGGGGACCTTGCTTTATCCATAGCCTCTTTCCTGCCAAATGTTGAGGCTGTGGTTTGGATCAACGGCTGCTCTGCCAATACAGCTTTACCCCTCTATTATAAGAAAAAGCAGGTCCTTCCTGCATTAATGTTTGACTTTAAAAAAGTCATTCCCACTGAATCCGGAGCCATCATTTCTAAATATGCCATGCACGACCCTCTAACGAAAGAGAACAAAGCCACCTTGGTCCCCATTGAACGTGCCAGTGGGCGTTTCCTCTTTGTGGCAGCAGAGGACGACCTGAACTGGGACAGCAAAGCCTACATGGAGGACATGCTGGAGAGGCTGAAGCGCCACGGGAAGGACAACTTTGAGAGCGTGAGTTATCCAGGAGCCGGGCACTATTTGGAGCCGCCTTATGGGCCGTACTGCCCCTCCAGCTTCCATGGGGTCGTAGGCAAGCCAGTCCTGTGGGGGGGGGTGCCCAGGTCTCATGCAGCAGCTGAAGTCCACCTGTGGAAGAAGATCCAAGAGTTCTTCAGGAGAAATGTGAAGTGTGATTTCTCTCCGAACAAGGCAAAGCTATAGACATGAATAGAATGGACCTGTTCAATGAAAAATTAATTAGATTTTAGATCACTAGTCTCACTATGTTATAAACAAAATACGAGAACTAGTATCATAAATAATCAATTAGACTAAAAGCACTTGTTAAAATAATTCTTATTCACTCAGCTTTGTATTGATGTGAATACAAAATCTTATTGTTTGAAAGATGCATTAAAAGTGTTAAAAAGACAAAGTGAGAAAAAATTATTTCACTGGAAATTTAATGAAATAAGTACTTTATATAACAATTGTGATAAATACTCTACATTTCTATGTAGCTGTATATGGCTGAGCCAATATTCGTGTACAAGGTTCAGATGACTGAAACTATGAATTAGATAACATAAAAGCGGGTCAATTGGTCACGTTGCACATTGTCTGTACACCATATTGCTAAATGATTGTAAAATCTTTGTACAGAGGGTTTTAGGACATGTTTCATAGGACTGCTTTATTGGTCTGACATGTTGATGGCAGCTGCTGAAAGAAACATTTAGTGTCCCTGTGAATATTTTGCGCTCCAGAAACCAGCCCCTGGCCCCTGTGACGTCGATCCATGCTGTTAATTCAGCTTATAATTAAAAAAAGTCATAATAATAAGGATAGTATTCACAAACAGTGGAAGCTCTAAGGTTTAAACTGATGTACGTACGTTAAACATTTCTAAAGCTCTAACTTTAGAAACTGAGAAAAAAAAAGAAAATACAGAGAAAATGAGTCATTTTTAATGTAATTTAACTTTATTAATAGTTCCTATCATATAACTGATCATTATTTTCAGTTTGTTTACTCACAGTCAGCAATAACTGTTTTTATTTCCTTTTTTCCTTCGTGTTTTAAACGTAGGTTTTATTGACATCTTGGAATAGACTTCCCTAAATCCAAGGATTCTTAAGTTTCCTGTCTGTAAAGCAGTTTCAACTTCAATCTGTGGATCTTTATCATTGCAGATGTTTTTGTGGCATTACACACTGATGGCAAATCGTGGAAAAATAGGTTGTTCGACTACAAACATGGCGTCCACCGTCGGACCATTTAGCCCGTAACACTGACCGGAAGTTTTAAAGAAGGCGCCTTTATAGAGGCCGGCAGTGTTTTTCTGCGTGGGCTGAATATTTGCTTCCAAAATGTCTTCTGTTCAGCATATGAGAGACTTTATCTGCCAGCGTCTAACTGCGGCTGCTGAAGAAATATTCACAGAGTTTGAAAAAACCGTCGTCCATTACGAGGAAGAGATCGATCGTCAGCGCCGGCTGTTGGAAATCACATTGAGCCCCCGAGTGCAGCTGCACAGAATAGGTATGAAACACAACTTAAAACTAAATTGACTTTATTTTTGGGGTCCTAAAAGAAAACGATGGAGCGACTGGTGCTATTTTCCCCTTCCTCCCAATCCCCCATTCCTTCCTCCCCATATGTGTCCTTGATTTGTTATTTGACTGTATCTGGGCTTAAGTGTACTGAGGGGTTTTTAAAAAATCTGCGTTACGTCCCCTGTAGGGGTTGTGGCACTGGGCCTCAAGGTGAGAGAAATGTTTACTTTCTACATCTACAAACCACTAAGAGTTTTGGGCACCAATGAAAATCTAATGATAAGCTTTTTTAACAAAAACACGTGGAAAGAGTTCCATTTGGAAAAATAGGCTCATAATAATCCAGACTAGTGAGAAACCCTTATCTTGTAGAATATGTGGGGAAAATTCAAGTCCTGAAATCCCACATGCTTTACTCGTAAACAACTTTTCACCAGTGAGGATCCTCCATTGGATTCCTATAAGATAATCAAAAATAACTGCTTGTGTTCCTGTGTCTCTGCAGTCATTCCGGAGCAGCAGGTCTGTAAGAAGAAGGGAGTATTTGCTTACCAGACACTCTGTAATGAAGAGAGAGATTCCAGTCTGAACCAGGAGGAACCAGAAACCCCTCGGATTAAAGAGGAACATGAGGAACTCTGCACCAATCAAGGAGGAGCGCAGATCAAAGTGGAGACAGACACTAGTGCTTTCACGTTGAGCCCTATTCACCAAGAATGGGACTTTGGCAAAGAAGACACAGACCCTGACCAGCCAAACTCTCAGACCTCCCCCTTAACTGAGAGGCAAAATCAGGAAGGGATGGATCACACAATGATAGGATCCAGCAAAGTTACAGAGATGAAGGCAAAGAATGGAACTAATGGAGACCGAGATCACAGCAACGATGATGATTCTGTCCTTTCAGAATACAAGTCTAATGTTGAGTCAGATGAACAGTCTGGGAAATCTGTTGGTAAACAGTCTTTGAAGGTTGAGTGTGATGAAAAGACAACTCGCACAATCCTCCAAAATTCTACAACGCAAACCTGCACAATATGTGGGAAAAGTGTCAGAAATTCTTCTTTTGTGAAACACATGCGAATACACACCGGTGAGCGACCTTTTTCTTGCGAAGTATGTGTGAAACGCTATCGTCAAAGTTCAGATCTTGTGAACCACATGACAACTCATACTGGTGAAAAACCTTTTTTATGTCCAACATGTGGGAAAAGTTTTTCTCAAAAGGGTTCTCTTGATAATCATAAAAGAACCCACTCAGGTGAGAAACCTTTTGTGTGCACTATATGTGGGAAACGTTTTTCTCAAAAAGGTATTCTTTATAATCATAAAAGAACCCACTCTGATGAGAAACCTTTTGTTTGCGCTATATGTCGAAAAGGTTTTTCTCAAAAAGGTTCTCTTGATAATCATAAAAGAACCCACTCAGGGGAAAAACCTTTTGTGTGCACTATATGTGGCAAACGTTTTTCTCAAAAAGGTATTCTTGATAATCATAAAAGAACCCACTCAGGGGAGAAACCTTTTGGTTGCACTATATGTGAAAAAGTTTTTTCTCCAAAAGGTTCTCTTGATCTCCATAAAAGAACCCACTTGGGTAAGTGATCGTTTTCTTGTAAAATTTGTGGGAAAGATTTCATCTTGGAAGAACGATTGAAGGTTAATGAGAGTCCACAAAGATAGGAAAAAGTTTTCATGATTTTTGTGATGGATGCCCCATGTTTGCATGGGTTTACCCCCACTGTCAGTTGTTTTAGAGTTTGTACATTCTTAGAGGCTTCAGTTTCAGATGCAGTTCATATTTAATTTCCCACAGCTGTGAAGTTCTGTTTTTAATCCAAATAAGACTGAAAGAGGTTCAAATCATAAAGTGGTCTGAAAAAGGTTCTGTATGAACACTGATATTTAACAAACAATAAAAGCTGTGAACATTGAAACACTTGTCATTAGCGTGTCATCCACATCAGTAACAATGACCAAAAACAGAACTCTGGGGGATTTTTGTCTAATCTTTTCAGGCTTGTCAAAGTGTTAAAGTCTGTTTTTTTCAACATTTACTCATATCGTTTACTTAAGCGCTATTAAAACAATTTCCCCCGACAGGCCATTAGTTATTGTAGCAGAAAAATTCAAGACATTTCAGTCATGACCTCTGACCTACATCGGCATATCTGTCATTCAGTCGTGAGTTTTTCTTTAGTTTAAGAGGGTCAAATGTATTTTTCAGTTCAACTCTGACTCAATAAAAATATCACAGTATTAATGATGTGATCTGATTAGACAATTAGACTTAAAGAACTTGTGGAAATAATTCATATTCACATTAATGTGAATACAAAATATGAATATGAAATATGTTTTAAAAAGACATAACTAAAGTGAGAAAAAAGAATTTTGCTGCAAAATTTTACAATATAAGTACTTTATATAACAATTGTGATAAATTCTCCACATTTCTGTGTAGCTGTATATTTGTGTACAAATATTGGCTCAAAATATTTTTCTTTTTTCTTCGAGTTTTTAACCAAGGTTTTGTTACTATCTTCGAATATCCATCCATCCGTTATCGTTACCGCTTATTCCCTGATGGGGTCGCGGGGAGAACTGGAGCCTATCCCAGTGGTCAATGGGCCAGTCCATCGCAGGGCAACACACAAGACATACAAGGACAAACCATGCACACTCACACCCACTCCTAATGGCAATTTTGAGTGTCCAACCAACCTAACATACAGGTTTTTTAACTGTGGGAAGAAGCCGGAGAACCTGGAGATAACCCACGCAGACACAGGGAGAACATGCAGACTCCACTAAGAAAGGTCCTGGGTCCACCGGGACTCGAACCCACAACGGTGCTAACCACCACACAAATAGACTTCCCTAAATCCAAGGATTCTTAAATTTCCTGTATGTAAACAAGATTCAACTTCAATCTGTGGATCTTTATCTTTGTCGATGTTTTTGTGGCATTACACACTGATGGAAAACCGTGGAAAAATAAGTCGTTCGACTCCAAACATTGAGGCTTTTTTAAAAAGACAGCTTAATATTCAAGTTTTTATCAACACAAAAATATCTGTAAAGACAAATGTTCAAAGCTAACTGGCGTCCACCGTCGGATCATTTAGCCCGTAACACTGACCGGAAGTTAAAAGAAGGCGCGTGTGTGAAGCAAGGCAGCAGTGTTTTTCTGTGTGGGCTGAATATTTGCTTCCAAAATGTCCTCGGTACAGCATATGAGAGACTTTATCTGCCAGCGTCTAACTGCGGCTGCTGAACAAATATTCACAGAGTTTGAAAAAACCGTCGTCCATTACGAGGAAGAGATCGATCGTCAGCGCCGGCTGTTGGAAATCACATTAAGCCCCCGCGTGCAGCTGCACAGAATAGGTATGAAACCCAACTTAAAACTAAATTCACTTTATTTTTAGGCCACAAAAAGAAAACGATGGAGCTACTGGTGTTATTTTCCCCTTCCCTCCAATCCCCCATTCCTTCCTCCCCATATGTGTCCTTGATGTGTGATATGACTGTATCTGGGCTTAAGTGTACTGAGGTGTTTTTTCATCTTTGTTACGTCTCCTGTAGGGGTTGGGGCACTGGGCCTGTTCCCAGTGCCACTGCACCACAGTCTTCCTGAACCCTGTGTCTTTGTGTCTGTTTGTAAGATCTTGGACGGGCTGAACTGACATTGAATTTCTCCACTGTGAGATCAACAAAGTATCTTATCTTTTTACACAAAAATGCAAAGAGTAAAACTCATTAAAGCATAAAATTAGTTTTGAACATATGGAATAACAGACTATGACATCTAATACGTCTTTCTGCATAAATTTGGACAGCTGTCATAAGTAATTTAGATTATTATTAAAATGGTCAGCAGGTCAGTTTGACTTAATTCAGAATACGGTAGAAAACCAGGTTTTGCTATCAAAAAGACTTCACCCTACATTTTGATATTCTGATTGGATGTATTTCTTCTTCTTTCTCTGCAGTCATTCCACAGCAACTGGCCGTTGAGGAAGATGCATTTGCTGACCAGAAGTGCTGTAGTAAAGAGAAAGACTCCAGTCTGAACCAGAAGCAACGAGAGACCCCTGAGTTTGAAAAGGAAAATATCTCTGAAGTCGAGCCAGATGAACAGTCCGTAAAATATGTTTGTAGAGAGCCTCTGAGGGTTGATATGGAGGAAAAAAACCTCCACGAAAGTTTGAAGCCATTTAAGTGCGAAACATGTGGGAAAAGCTTCCTTTGTGATCGATCTTTACTGATCCACACGAGGAGCCACGAAGGTGAGAGAAATGTTTACTTTCTACTTCTACAAACCTCTAAGAACTTTTTTACACACATGAAAATCTACTGAGAAGCGTTTTTTAATGTAAAACACGTGGAAAGGGTTTCATTTGGAAAAGTAGGCTCATAATCCCTATGTTTATGTTTATGCATTTGGCAGACGCTTTTATCCAAAGCGACTTACAGAGTAGACACAATATTACATTTCTTATCACTATGACGATAAGCTATATAGAGGAGAAACACTGATCAGATTCAGTGGTGACAGCAAGAGATAGAGGTAGAGGGGACTACAGAAGGAGCTGTGGGGGGGTAGAGGTACGGGTTAGGATTAGGATAGGAGATGCTCTTTGAAGAGGTGGGTCTTCAAGAGTTTCTTGAAGACAGACAGGGACTCTGCTGTTCCTATGTTTATCCAGACTGGTGAGAAACCCTTATATTGATATCAGAATATGTGGGGAAAATTCAAGTCCTGAAATCCCACATACTTAACTCGTAAACAACCTCTCACCAGTGAGGATCCACCATTGGATTCCATCCATCCATCCATTATCAATACCGCTTGTTCCCTAATGGGGTCGCGGGGGAACTGGAGCCTATCCCAGTGGTCAACGGGCGAGAGGCAGGGTACACCCTGGACAGTCCGCCAGTCCATCGCAGGGCCACACACAGGACATGCAAGGACAAACAACCACTCACACTCACATTCACTCCTAAGGGCAATTTCCCCAATCTCCAATCAACCTAACATGCAGGTTTTTGGACTGTGGGAGGAAGCTGGAGAACCCGGAGAGAACCCACGCAGACACAGGGAGAACATGCAGACTCCACCCAGAAAGTTCCTGGTTCCCCAGGGATTCGAACCCAGAACCCTCTTGCTGGGAGGCGACAGTGCTAACCACCACACCACTGTGCCGCCCCCACCATTGGATTCCTATAAGATAATCAAAAATAACTGCTTGTGTTCTTCTGTCTCTGCAGTCATTCCGGAGCAACAGCTCTGTAAGAAGAAGGAAGTATTTGCTTACCAGACACTCTGTAATGAAGAGAGAGATTCCAGTCTGAACCAGGAGGTACCAAAAACCCCTCAGATCAAAGAGGAACATAAGGAGCTCTGCACCAATCAAGGAGAGAAGATTAAAGTGGAGACAGAGACTAATGCTTTCACGTTGAGCCCTATTCACCAAGAATGGGGCTTTGGCAAAGTAGACACAGACCCTGACCAGCCAAACTCTCAGACCTGCCCCTTAACTGAGAGGCAAAATCAGGAAGGGATGGATCACACAATCATAGGATCCAGCAAAGTTACAGAGATGAAGCCAAAGAATGGATCTAATGGAGACATGGGTCACAGCAACGATGATGATTCTGTCCTTTCAAAATACAAGTCTAATGGTGAGTCAGATGAACAGTCTGTGAAATCTGTTGGTAAACAGTCTTTGAAGGATAAGTGTGATGAGAAGACAACTGGCACCACCCCTAAAAAATCTAAAAGACAAACCTGCACAACATGTGGGAAAAGTGTCAGAAATTCTTCTTTTGTGAAACACATGCGAATACACACTGGTGAGCGACCTTTTTCTTGTGAAGTATGTGGGAAATGTTTTCCTCAAAGATCAGATCTTGTGAGCCACATGAGAAGTCATACTGGGGAAAAACCTTTTGTATGTCCAACATGTGGGAAAGGTTTTTCTCAAAAAGGACATCTTAGTGCCCATAAAAGAACCCACTCAGGTGAGAAACCATTTGTGTGCACTATATGTGGAAAAGGTTTTTCTGTAAGACGTTCTCTTGATGTCCATTTAATAACCCACTCAGGAGAGAAACCTTTTGTGTGCATTATATGTGGGAAAGGTTATTCTGTAAAATATAATCTTGATATCCATAAAAGAACCCACTCAGGTGAGAAACCTTTTGTATGCACTATATGTGGAAAAGGTTTTTCTGTAAAATATTCACTTGATATCCATAAAAGAACCCACTCAGGGGAGAAACCTTATATGTGCGCTATATGTGGAAAAGGTTTTTCTGTAAAACATTCTCTTAATCGCCATTTAAATATCCATTCGGGGGGATAAACCTTTTGTATGCATTATATGTGGAAAAAGATATTCCTTAAAAGGAGGTCTTGATATCCATAAAAGAACCCACTCAGGTAAGAAACCTTTTTTGTGCACTATATGTTGGAAAGGTTTTGCTTTAAAAAGTATCCTTGATGTCCATAAAAGAACCCACTCGGGAGAGTGATCGGTTTCTTGTGGAATTTGTGGGAAAGATTTTATCCTGGACTAACGATTGAAAGTTCATGAAAGAGTCCACAAAGACAGGAAAAAGTGTTCATGATTTGTGTGATGGACGCCCCATGTTTGTATGGGTTTACCCCCACTGTCAGTTGTTTTAGAGTTTGTAAATTCTTAGAGGCTTCAGGTGAGACTGAGACTGCTGCCACGGGCCCCATGTTTGTTTGACGAGACCGTTAAGGTGAAGGTGGCCGGATTGAGGCCGAGACAGGTGGTCACCCTGAGAGCCAGATCCACGGATGAGAGAGGAGTGGTGTTCAGCTCCTCCGCCTCCTACCAGGCAGATGGCGGAGGGGGATCCACCTGGACAGGGACCCCTCCATCGGTGGGAGGGAGTGGAACCAATGGGTCTCCTGAGATCCCTGTGGGCAGAAGCCTTGCACAAGGACTTTTATAAGAAAAAGGCATTACACTCTCATATCGTAAAGTTCTCCGTGCATGAGGACGGGATTCTGGCAGGGTCGACCAATGAGAGGCTTCTGATGGGAGACGGGATAGTTTGGCTTCTTACTTAAAACACTGAAGTAATTATGTTAAATTGCATGTGTCTACAATAAAAAGTTTGACTTTTTAAAGGAAAAAACAGACTTTGATCTCTGGCATACTCCGTCTAAAATATTAAATGCGTAAACATGATTTATAACATGATTTGCAAAGGAAACCCATTTATGAACTTGAATTTCTGTGGAATGTTGGTGTTTGGATATATGTTAGACATATGTATGTTTATTATTGCCACTGCAAAAAAATATAAGTCATGCATAGAGACTGTTATCATAATTAGAAATACTTTAATAATCCCAGAGGGAAATTATTAATGTTATCAAGGACTGCCTTATTGGTCTGACATGTTGATGGCAGCTGCTGAAAGAAACATTTAGTGTCCCTGTGCATATTCTGCGCTCCAGAAACCAGCCCCTGGCCCCTGTGACGTCAGATCCATGCTGTAAATGTTGCTTATCAGAGGAAAATATTCTATTCTAAAAAAAAAAAAAAGCATAGTATTCACAAACAAAAAAGCAGATTCAACTTCAATCTGTGGATCTTTATCACAGCAGATGTTTTTGTGGCATTACACACTGATGGAAAACCGTGGAAAGTTGTTTGACTACAAACATCAACGTTTTTATTAAAGAGACGACTAAATATTCAAGTTTTTGTAATCGACACAAAAAGATCTGTAATGACAAATGTTCAAAGCTAACTGGCGTCCATCGTCGGACAATTTAGCCCGTAACACTGACCGGAAGTTCAAAAAGGCGTGGACGACACAATGACTCTTAGCATGAGAGCAATAATAGATTATGGCAGCATTATATATGGAGCTGTAGCTAAAACATCATTACAAACAATAGAAAGATTACAGTGTAGGGCTTTACTTATATGTACAGGAGCAGTAAAAACAACACCTATTAATGCTCTCTTAACTGAAAATGGGGAAACTCCACTGGAAATGAGGAGCTTTAAATTAGCTTTAGCATATTGGATGAAAATTAAACGTAATATAGATGATCATGTGAATTCAACTATTCTACAAAATTGTTGGGAATATGTGAAGTTCCAAAGTAATGGATATGGATGGATGGTTAGGAAATGGATTAAAAAGTATGGATTAGAAGACAAGGAAATAGCTCAATTTATTCAATTAGCGTTATTCCTCCATGGCTAATACCAGAGGTTAATGTAGATTTGCAAATAAATGCAATGAAAAATGATTGGAATTTAAATGAAATAGGGATAAAGACTGATATTTATTTAAGAACTACATATAATAATTACCTTAAAATTTATACAGATGGTTTTAAGAATTTAAAAGGATATGTGGGAATAGGAATATGTATTCCAGAGTTTAAAAAATGTATTTATAAAAGAATATCAGATCAATTGCCGGTTTTTACAGCAGAAATGGTGGCAGTTATATTCTTATAAAGCAGTAGTGGAAAGTATTAAGGGAGAAGGAAATAATAGAAAGATTTGGTATTAGAAATTCATCATATTTTATTTAGATTATATAGGGGTGGCATTGATGTTTGGTTTTTGTGGGGTGCCAGCACATGAAGGAGTAAAAGGCAATGAAAAGGCAGATAAATTAGCTAAAAGGGCTTTAGAGGGGGAAATAACTATTTCAATTGTTAAAAAATCACTTATTAAAAGTAAAGAAATGGAGGGATGGCAAAAAATATGGAATGAAGATAAGAAAGGAAGAAGATTATATGAAGTGGAAAAGTCAGAATCCGAAGCATTAATGAAAGAAACAGAAGGGAAGAAATAATAATTAGTAGATTAAGAATAGGTCATACCTACTTAAATGACATGCTTTATTTAATAGGGAGGAAAAATAGTGATAAATGTGAGGGATGTGGAGAAAAAGAAAATGTAGAACACATACTGATGAACTGTAAGTCATATGAAGTCGAAAGGGAAGAATTAAAGAGAATAGTTAGAAGTATAGGGCATGAATGGAATCTTAAAGGTATATCAGGAAATGAAGGAAACATAACAGATATTCATAAATTAAGGAAAGCATTGTTTATCTACCTTAAGAATACAAAATTAAAAAATAGAATCTAATAGATGTGAAGTAACGCTGCTACACACTCATGTACAGTAGGTGGCGGTATGCACCATAAAGTTGCTTGTGATCCGCCATAATAGAAAAGAAGAAGAAGAAGAACAATGACTCTTAGCTAAGTGTGTGCGGGAGGCCGGAATGTTTTTCTGCGAGGGCTGAATATTTGCTTCCAAAATGTTTTCGCTTCAGCATATGAGAGACTTTATCTGCCAGCGTCTAACTGCGGCTGCTGAAGAAATATTCACAGAGTTTGAAAAAACCGTCGTCCATTACGAGGAAGAGATCGATCGTCAGCGCCGGCTGTTGGAAATCACATTGAGCCCCCGAGAGCAGCTGCACAGAATAGGTATGAAACCCAACTTAAAACTAAATTCACTTTATTTTTGGTGTCATAAAAGAAAACGATGGAGCGACTGATGTTATTTCCCCCCCCCTTCCTCCCAATCCCCCATTCCTTCCTCCCCATATGTGTCCTTGATGTGTGATATGACTGTATCTGGGCTTAAGTGTACTGAGGGGTTTTAAAATGATCTTTGTTACGTCCCCTGTAGGGGTTTTAGAGTTGGGCCTCCTCCCCCCCTCTTCCCTCAACCACTTTAGCAATGTTTGGTTTTGGATCTTGGACGGGCTGTACTGAAATTGAATTTCTCCACTGTGAGATCAATAAAATATGTTATCTTTTCACATTTAAATAAGAGTACAACTGTTAAAACATAAAACTAGATTTAAGCATATGGAGTAACAGACTATGACATCATTATGGAGAGCAATCTCACTTTTGATATTAACATTCACCATTTTACGTCTGATATGTCTTTCTCAATAATTTTGGACAGCTGTCATAAATTATTTCGATTATTTATCAAATTATCAGCAGATCGGTTTCACTTAATTCAGAATACAGTAGAAAGCCAGGTTATGCTATCAAAAAGACTTCACCCTACATTTTGATAATCTGATTGGATGTATTCCTTCTTCTTTCTCTGCAGTCATTCCACAGCAACTGGCCGTTGAGGAAGATTCATTTACTGACCAGAAGTGCTGTAGCAAAGAAAAAGACTCCAGTCTGAACCAGAAGCAACGAGAGAACCCTGAGTTTGAAAAGGAAAATATCTCTGAAGTAGAGCCAGATGAACAGTCTGTAAAATCTGTTTGTAGAGAGCCTCTGAGGGTTGATACGGAGGAAAAAAACCTCCACGAAAGTTGGAAGCCATTTTTTGGTGAAACATGTGGGAAAACCTTCCTTTGTGATCGATCTTTGCTGATCCACACGAGGAACCACGAAGGTGAGAGAAATTTTTACTTTCTTTATCTACAAACCATTAAGAATTTTGGGCACACATGAAAATCTACTGAGAACCTTTTTTAATGTAAAACACTTGGAAAGAGTTTTATTTGGAAAAGTAGGCTATAGGCATAATCCCTATGTTTATCCAGACTGGTGAGAAACCCTTATCTTGTAGAATATGTGGGGAAAATTCAAGTCCTGAAGTCCAACATACTTTACTTGTAGACAACTTCTCACCAGTGAGGATCCTCTATTAGATTCCTATAAGATAATCAAAAATAACTGCTTGTGTTCTTCTGTCTCTGCAGTCATTCCGGAGCAACAGGTCTGTAAGAAGAAGGAAATATTTGCTCACCAGACACTCTGTAATGAAGAGAGAGATTCCAGTCAGAACCAGGGGATCCCAGAAACCCCTCAGATTAAAGAGGAACATGAGGAACTCTGCACCAATCAAGGAGGAGAGCAGATCAAAGTGGAGACAGAGACTAATGCTTTCACGTTGAGCCCTATTCACCAAGAATGGGACTTTGCTGAAGTAGACACAGACCCTGACCAGCCAAACTCTCAGACCTGCCCCTTAACTGAGAGAGAAAATCAGGAATGGATGTATCACACAATCATAGGATCCAGCAAAGTTACAGAGATGAAGCCAAAGAATGGATCTAATGGAGACATGGGTCACAGCAACTATGATGATTCTGTCCTTTCAGAATACAAGTCTAATGTTGAGTCAGATGAACAGTCTGTGAGATCTATTGGTACACAGTCTTTGAAGGATGAGTGTGATGAGAAGACAACTGGCACCACCCCCCAAAATTCTAAAACACAAACGTGCACATGTGGGGAAAGTGTCAGAAATTCTTCTTTTGTGGCACACATGCTAACACACACCGGTGAGCGACCCTTTTCTTGCGAAGTATGTGTTTCTCAATGTTTTTCTCAAAGATCATATCTTGTGAACCACATGACAACTCACACTGGGGAAAAACCTTTTTTATGTCCAACATGTGGGAAAGGTTTTTCTCAAAAGGGTTCTCTTGATAATCATAAAAGAACCCACTCAGGGGAGAAACCTTTTGTGTGCACTGTATGTGGAAAAGGTTTTTCCTTAAAAAGTACTCTTAATGTCCATAAAAGAACCCACTCGGGTGAGAAACCTTTTGTGTGCACTATATGTGGCCAAGGTTTTTCTCAAAAATGTATTCTTGATAATCATAAAAGAACCCACTCAGGGGAGAAACCTTTTGTGTGCATTGTATGTGGGAAAGGTTTTTCTAAAAAATTTATTCTTGATAATCATAAAAGAACCCACTCAGGGGAGAAACCTTTTTTGTGCACTGTATGTGGAAAAGGTTTTTCCTTAAAAAGTACTCTTAATGTCCATAAAAGAACCCACTCAGGGGAGAAACCTTATATGTGCACTATATGTGGGAAAGGTTTTTCCAAAAAATGTGGTCTTGATATCCATAAAAGAACCCACTCAGGTGAGAGACCTTATATGTGCACTATATGTGGGAAAAGCTTTTCTGCAAACAATCATCTCAATGTCCATAAAAGAACCCACTCGGGTGAGAAACCTTATATGTGCACTATATGTGGGAAAGTTTTTTCTCAAAAGGGTAATCTTGATGGCCATAAAAGAACTCACTCGGGTGAGTGATCGTTTTCTTGTGGAATTATTGGAGATATTTTATCCTGGACTAATGATTGAAAGTTCATGAAAGAGTCCACAAAGACAGGAAAAAGTGTTCATGATTTTTGTGATGGGCGCCCCATGTTTTATGTCTTTCCCTCAGATACAATAAAGCGATAAAAATGGTACCTTGTGTCAATGTGCTTCCACCACTGACGAGACACAGGGTTTTTGGACAGGGCAATAGTACCCTGATTGTCCTCAAAAATAGTCCCAGGTGTAAAGTTCAAAGTGCTGTGGGGGAAATCAATATATGGATAATCACTTTCTTCACTTCTCTCTGGTAATTTTCCACAAGTGAATATTCTTAAGGTTCTTTTTTTCTTTCCCATGGGGCTCTTTCCTCTTTCAAGGTCTCCGTATACTGTATGTTAATGCTTTGTCTTGAAGGATTGTTCGGTACAGGTGCAGGTTACTCTATGATGGGTGACAAAGTTTCCTCCTCATCCTATACTCAGAGTGGGGTATAAAATGTAATATGATTTTGTTTTACTTCGGAGCAGCTTGATGCTTTGCATGAAGGTGCTGGTTGCTCTCACTTCATTAAGTTTTTCCCTTTAATACATTTTCTATTTCTTACTCACTTGGACGGACTCAGACTTTTTCTTTAGAATAGAATTTCCACAACAGTGTCCACACCTTTCAATAGATTAACAAGATACACAGGAAGCAGATAGGAAGTAGACAGGAAGTAAACTCCAAACAGGAAGTGGTACAGGAAGTACACAAGAAGTAGACAGGAAGTAAGCTGGAAACAGGAAGTGCTGCAGGAAGTAGACAGGAAGTAAGCTGGAAACAGGAAGTGTTGCAGGAAGTAGACAGGAAGTAAGCTGGAAACAGGAAATGGACAGGAAGTAGAAAGTGCTGCGGGAAGCAGACAGGAGGTAGACAGGAGACATACAGGAAGTTGACAGGAGAAAGACAAGATGTAGACAGGAAGTAAGCTGGAAACAGGAAATGCTACAGGAAATAGACAGGAAGTAAGCTGGAAACAGGAAGTGCTGCAGGAAGTAGACAGGAGGTAGACAGGAAGTAGACAGGAGACAGACAGGAAGTAGACTGGAAGCTGCAGGAAGTAGACCGGAAGTAGGCTGGAAACAGGAAGTGTTGCAGGAAGCAGACAGGAAGTAGACCAGAAGTAGACAGAAAGCACGAATTTCTGCAGGAAGTAGACAGGAAGCAAACAGGAACTAGACCGGAAGTGGAAAGGATAGTAGACTGGAAGCAGGAAGTGTTTCAGGAAGTAGACAGGAAGTAGGCTGGAAACAGGATATGCTGCAGGAAGTAGACAGACCTGGTTCCTGATGGTGGGTTTCAGGTTCCTGGTTCCTGATGGTGGGTTTCTGGTTCCTGGTGGTGCTATAGACTCTGAAATTTACATGGAGCAGCCTGAAGGGTTATAGGTAAAATCTAAGAGAGGAGGAATAACTGGTCTGTAAACTGAATAAATCATTATACGGTTTGATGCTGTCAGGACAAAACTGGAATAAGATGCTATGTGATTTCCTTATTAAAAACGGTGGACTATTGTGTTTATGTAAGACAGTTGGAAATGAAAGAATGGGGACCAAATTCAAAATGAAAGATTTTGGGAGATTAACACATTTCCTTGGCATTGATTTTACCCACACAAAAGGGGAAGTCAAAATTAATCAAAAAGAAATACACTATATTGCCAAAAGTATTTGCTCACCTGCCTTGACTCACATATGAGCTTAAGTGACATCCCGTTCCTAATCCATAGGGTTCAATATGACGTCGGTCCACCCTTTGCAGCTAGAACAGCTTCAACTCTTCTGGGAAGGCTGTCCACAAGGTTTAGGAGTGTGTTTATGGGAATTTTTGACCATTCTTCCAGAAGTGCATTTGTGAGGTCGCACACTGATGTTGGACGAGAAGGCCTGGCTCTCAGTCTCCGCTCTAATTCATCCCAAAGGTGTTCTATCGGGTTGAGGTCAGGACTCTGTGCAGGCCAGTCAAGTTCATCCACACCAGACTCTGTCATCCATGTCTTTATGGACCTTGCTTTGTGCACTGGTGCACAGTCATGTTGGAAGAGGAAGGGGCCAGCTCCAAACTGTTCCCACAAAGTTGGGAGCATGGAATTGTCCAAAATGTCTTGGTATGCTGAAGCATTCAGAGTTCCTTTCACTGGAACTAAGGGGCCAAGCCCAACTCCTGAAAAACAACCCCACACCATAATCCCCCCTCCACCAAACTTTACACTTGGCACAATGCAGTCAGACAAGTACCGTTCTCCTGGCAACCGCCAAACCCAGACCCGTCCATCAGATTGCCAGATGGAGAAGCGCGATTCGTCACTCCAGAGAACGCGTCTCCACTGCTCTAGAGTGCAGTGGCGGCGTGCTTTACACCACCGCATCCGACGCTTTGCATTGCACTTGGTGATGTATGGCTTGGATGCAGCTGCTCGACCATGGAAACCCATTCCATGAAGCTCTCTGCGCACTGTTCTTGAGCTAATCTGAAGGCCACATGAAGTTTGGAGGTCTGTAGTGATTGACTCTGCAGAAAGTTGGCGACCTCTTCGCACTATGCGCGTCAGCATCCGCTGACCCCGCTCCGTCAGTTTACGTGGCCTACCACTTCGTGGCTGAGTTGCTGTCGTTCCCAAACACTTCCATTTTCTTATAATACAGCTGACAGTTGACTGTGGAATATTTAGGAGCGAGGAAATTTCACGACTGGATTTGTTGCACAGGTGGCATCCTATCACAGTTCCACGCTGGAATTCACTGAGCTCCTGAGAGCGACCCATTCTTTCACAAATGTTTGTAAAAACAGTCTGCATGCCTAGGTGCTTGAATTTATACACCTGTGGCCATGGAAGTGATTGGAACACCTGATTCCGATAATTTGGATGGGTGAGCAAATACTTTTGGCAATATAGTGTATATCACAAAAATTCTTGACAGATTTGACTTGACTCCCTGCAAACCGTAGACGACACCATGCGAAATGAAAATGACATTTGACAATGCGGGTGCACCTGCTGATCCTAAGAAATATCGCAAAGTAGTTGGCAGTTTGATTCATGTAATGAAATCTACTAAACCAGAACTAAGTTTTGTTGTCAGTAAATTATTTCAATACTTGTCTGAACCTAAAGGACAACATTGGGTGGCAGCTAAACATGTTTTGAGGTATTTGAAATGCACTGTGGATCAGGAGTTAAAAGAAGCTAAATTTGGACTTGAACCTTGTGGCCTATGGTGATGCAGACTGGACGGCTGACCAGAATGACAAGCGCAGTGTTACTGGTTACTATTTTAGTCTGTCTGAGACTGGGCCTGTTGTTTCATGGAAATCTAAGAAACAGCCCACAGTTGCTTTATCGACACGTGAAGCCGAATACATGGCTCTGTCTACTACAACTCAGGAAAGTGTGTATCTTGTTAATCTATTGAAAGGAGTGGACACTGTTGTGGAAATTCTATTCTAAAGCAAAAGTCTGAGTCTGTCCAAGTGAGTAAGAATTAGAACATTTATTAAAGGGAAAAACTTCATGAAGTGAGAGCAACTAGCACCTTCATGAAAAGCATCAAGCTGCTCCAAAGTAAAACAAAAGTACATTTTATACCCCTCTCTGAGTATGGGATGAGGAGGAAACTTTGTCTCTCATCATAGAGTAACCTGCACCTGTACCAAACAATCCTCAAGACAAAACATTAAGAAATAAAGTATAAGGAGACATTCTCTAAGACCTTGAAAGAAGAAAGAACCCCATGAGAAAGAAAAAAAGAACCTTTAGAATATTCACTTGTGAATAATTACCAAAGAGAGGTGAAGAAAGTGATTATCCATATATCAGTTTCCCCCACAACACTTTGAACTTTACACCTGGGACTATTTTTGAGGACAATCAGGGTGTTTTTCCCTATCCAAAAACCCTGTGTCTCGTCAGTGGTGGAAGCACATTGAAACACCACTGGACAATCATCAATCAATGGCAGCAGCTCATTCACAAAAATGATCGCATGCAGGCCAAACGTAAATCCATGTCTGTGTCTTATCTTGCGTCTGTCTTAACACGGCTGATCAACTCTTGTGGCTCTGGCTGCGCCAACAGTTTGTTAAATATCAATGTGCATACAGAACATTTTTCGGACCAATTTATGATTTGAACCTCATTTAGTCATATTTGGATTAGAAACAGAAATTATCCGCCGTGGGAAATTATATGTGAACTGCGTCTGAAACCTCTAAGATTTGACAAAGTCTAAAACAACTGACAGTGGGGGTAAACCCATGCAAAAATGGGGAGTCCATAAAAAAAATCATGCACACTTTTCTTTCTGGACTCTTATGAACTTTCAATTGTTCTTCCAGGATGAACACTCCCCCAAATTTCACAAGAAAACGATCACTCACTTAAGTGGGTTCTGTTATGGAAATCGAGAGAACGTTTCGCTGAAAAACCTTTCCCACATATAGTGCACACAAAAGGTTTCTCACCTGAGTGGGTTCTTTCATGGACCTTAAGATGATATTTGACCGGAAAGCCTTTCCCACATATAGTGCACACAAAAGGTTTTCCACCAAAGTGAACTTTCTGGTGACTGTAGAATTGCGAACTGGTTTTGAACCTTTTCCCACATGTTGGACATAAAAAAGGGTTTTCCCCAATATGAGTTCTCATGTGGTTCTCAAGATCTGAAGTTTGAGAAAATAATTTACGACATTCACAAGAAAAAGGTCGCTCAGCGAAGTGTGTTTGCATGTGTGCCACAAAAGAAGAATTTCTGACACTTTTCCCACATGTGCAGGTTTTTGTTTTAGAATTTTGGGGGGTTGTGTCAGTTGTCTTCTCATCACACTCATCCTTCAGGGTCTGTGGTCAGGGTCTGTGTCTTCTTTGCCAAAGTCCCATTCTTGGTGAGCAGGGCTCAACGTGAAAGCATTAGTCTCTGTCTCCACTTTCTGCACTGTCTGCTCTCCTTCTTGATTGGTGCAGAACTCCTTTTGTTCCTCTTTAATCTGAGGGGTTTTTGGGACCCCCTGGTTCAGACCGGAATCTCTCTCTTCATTACAGAGTTTCTGGTAAGCAAATACTTCCTTCTTCTTACAAACCTGTTGCTCCGTAATGACTGCTGAGACAGAAGAACACAAGCAGTTATTTTTTATTATCTTATAGGAATCCAATGGAGGATCCTCACTGGATAGAGGTTGTCTACAAGTAAAGTATCTGGTATTTCTGGACTTGAATTTCCCCCACATTTCCTACAAGATAAGGGTTTCTCACCAGTCTGGATAAAGATAGGGATTATGAGCCTACTTTTCCAAATGAAACTCTTCTGGTCAGCAAATGCATCTTCCTCAACGGCCAGTTGCTGTGGAATGACTGCAGAGAAAGAAGAAGAAATACATCCAATCAGATTATCATAATGTAGGGTGAAGTCTTTTTGACACCATAAACTGGCTTTCTACTGTATTCTGAATTAGGTGACACCGATCTGCTGATCGTTTGAATAATAACATAAATAATTTATGACAGCTGTCCAAAAGGACGTGTTAGATGTAAAAAAGGGAATGTGATTATCAAAAGTGAGTTTGCTGTCCATAGTGATGTCATAATCTGTTACTCCATATGTTTAAAAGTAGTTTTATGCTTTAACAAGTTGTACTCTTTGCATTTCTGTGTAAAAAAATAAGATATATTATTGATGTACTCTACTGAAAATTCAATTTCAGTACAGCCCGTCCAAGATCTTACAAACATACACATAGACACAGGGTTTGAGAAGACCACCTTTTTCCTTCAGAAAAAAAGATACATCGGTGAAGTCATAGACATATATACGTAGACGCCGCGTTGAGTCTGTTAGTCTGTTGGAGCGATATGTTTAAGTGTCCGCCATCTTGGATGTGGCAGAACTCCCCATAAACCAATAAAAGAAAACAGACTGAACTCCATAAAGTGACTTTCTGCAAAGTGCTTTAAGTTAATGCACCTTATTCACCCATTCACACACACACACAATTGTTCGCAATTAGTAATACATAAAGATCAGCAGAAAAATATTAATATTCATTTCATGTTTTGTCTTGTGATGATGACCGGTGAGGCTCCGTATGTTGGCACTCGGCAACTTAAGGGTGTTCAGTTTGGCAGTTTTGGCCTCAGTTTGTGGAATCACATCAATTGTTTTTTAAGTGGAGCATCTCTGATGATGGGGGTACAGCATACCTCGGCATACATCACAGGACAGCCTTTGGAGAAGTTGGCGGAGATAAAACTCTGAGATTTACACCGGTTCACTGTCTGATCGCTGACTCTGACTCTCCAATTTGCCACATCCAAGATGGCGGCGACGTTGACGTACGATTAAGCCCTCAATGCGAAAATAAAGTGAATTTAGTTTTAAGTTGGGTTTCATACCTATTCTGTGCAGCTGCACTCGGGGGCTCAATGTGATTTCCAACAGCCGGCACTGACGATCGATCTCTTTCTCGTAATGGACGACGGTTTTTTCAAACTCTGTGAATATTTCTTCAGCAGCCGCAGATAGACGCTGGCAGATAAAGTCTCTCATATGCTGAAGCGAAGACATTTTGGAAGCAAATATTCAGCCCACGCAGAGAAACACTGCCGGCCTCCCGCTAACACTTAGCTAAGAGTCATTGTGTAGTCCGCTCCTTTATTTACTTCCGGTCAGTGTTACGGGCTAAATGGTCAGAAAGTGGACGCCAGTTAGCTTTGAACATTTGTCATTACATATCTCGTTGTGTTGATTAAAACTTGAATATTAAGCTAAATATTAAGCTGTTTCTTAAACAAAAACGTTAATAAAAACCTGACTGTGGAAAAAGAGAAAGATAATTTCTGTGGAAAGAAAACACAACAGTATTAATAATTTTAATACATTTTATTGATTACTCTATACATTTAATGACATTAATAGTTTCCCTCTGGGATTCTAATTACAGTCTCTATGCATAACTTAGATTTTTTGCAGTGGCATTAATAAACATACATATGTCAAACATATATTCATACATATATCCAAACACCAACATTTCACAGAAATCAAAGTTCATAAATGGGTTTCCTTTGCAAATCATGTTATAAATCATATGTTTACGCATTTAATATTTTAGACGGAGTATGCTCAAGATCAAAGTCTGTTTTTTCCTTTAAAATGTCAAACTTTTTATTGTAGACACATGCAATTTAACATAATTACTTCAGTGTTTTAAGTAAGAAGCCGAATGACCCCGTCTCTAATCAGAAGCCTCTCATTGGTCGACCCCACCAGAATCCCGCCTTCCTCCCTGTCCTCATGCACAGAGAACTTTACGATATGAGAGTGTAATGCCTTTTTCTTATAAAAGTATTTTTGCAAGGCTTCTGGCCGCAGGGATCTCAGGAGACCCATTGGTTCCACTCCCACGTAGCTCCCCCAGATGCAGGGGTCCCTGTCCAGGTGGATCTCTCCTCCGCCATCTGCCTGGTAGGAGGCGGAGGAGCTGAACACCACTCCTCTCTCATCCGTGGATCTGGCTCTCAGGGTGACCACCTGTCTCGGCCCCAATCCGGCCACCATCACCTGAACGGGCTCGTCAAACAAACATGGGGCCCGTGGCAGCAGTCTCAGTCTCACCTGAAGCCTCTAAGAATTTACAAACTCTAAAACAACTGACAGTGGGGGTAAACCCATAAAACATGGGGCGTCCATCACACAAATCATGAACACTTTTTCCTGTCTTTGTGGATTCTTTCATGAACTTTCAATCGTTAGTCCAGGATAAAATCTTTCCCACAATTACCACAAGAAAACGATCACTCACCCGAGTGGGTTCTTTTATGGACATCAAGATTACCTTTTTGAGAAAAACCTCTCCCACATATAGTGCACATATAAGGTTTCTCACCTGAATGGGTTCTTTTATGGACATTAAGATTACCTTTTAAAGAAAAACCTTTCCCACATATAGGGCACACAAAAGGTTTCTCACCTGAGTGGGTTCTTTTATGGTAATTAAGATGATTTTTTTGAGAAAAACCTTTCCCACATATAGTGCACAAAAAAGGTTTCTCACCTGAGTGGGTTCTTTTATGGATATCAAGACTACGTTTTACAGAAAAACCTATTCCACATATAGTGCACACAAAAGGTTTCTCACCTGAATGGGTTCTTTTATGGTTATCAAGACTACATTTTACAGAAAAACCTTTTCCACATATCGTGCACACAAAAGGTTTTTCACCTGAGTGGGTTCTTTTATGGATATCAAGATTATATTTTACAGAAAAACCTTTTCCACATATAGTGCACAAAAAAGGTTTCTCATCTGAGTGGGTTTTTTTATGGTTATCAAGATTACATTTGTCAGAAAAACCTTTTCCACATATAGTGCACACAAAAGGTTTCTCCCCTGAGTGGGTTCTTAAATGGCGATTAAGAGAACGTTTTACAGAAAAGCCTCTTCCACATATAGTGCAGACATAAGGTTTCTCCCCTGAGTGGGTTCTTTTATGGACACTAAGATGTCCTTTTTGAGAAAAAACTTTCCCACATATAGTGCAAACAAAAGGGCTCTCAACTGAGTGGGTTCTTTTATGGATATCAAGTGAATATTTTACAGAATAACTTTTCCCACATATAATGCACACAAAAGGTTTCTCAACTGAGTGGGTTATTTTATGGACACTAAGATGTCCTTTTTGAGAAAAACCTTTCCCACATGTTGGACATAAAAAAGGTTTTTCCCCAGTATGAGTTCTCATGTGGTTCACAAGATCTGAACTTTGAGAAAAACATTTCCCACATACTTCACAAGAAAAAGGTCGCTCACCGGTGTGTATTCGCATTTGCGCCACCAAAGAAGAATTTGTAACACTTTTCCCACATGTTGTGCATGTTTGTCTTTTACAATTTTGGAGGGTGGTGCCAGTTGTCTTCTCATCACACTCATCCTTCAAAGACTGTTTACCAACAGATTTCACAGACTGTTCATCTGACTCAACATTAGACTTGTATTCTGAAAGTACAGAATTATCATCGTTGCTGTGACCCATGTCTCCATTAGATCCATTCTTTGCCTTCATCTCTGTAACTTTGCTGGATCCTATGATTGTGTGATCCATCCCTTCCTGATTTTGCCTCTCAGTTAAGGGGGAGGTCTGAGAGTTTGGCTGGTCAGGGTCTGTGTCTACTTTGCCAAAGTCCCATTCTTGGTGAATAGGGCTCAACGTGAAAGCATTAGTCTCTGTCGCCAATTGAATCTGCTCACTTTCTTCATTGGTGCCGAGTTCCTTATGTTCCTCTTTAATCTGAGGGGTTTCTGGTACCTCCTGGTTCAGACTGGAATCTCTCTCTTCATTACAGAGTTTCTGGTAAGAAAATACTTCCTTCTTCTTACAGACCTGTTGCTCCGGAATGACTGCAGAGACAGAAGAACATAAGCAGTTATTTTTGATTATCTTATAAGAATCCAATGGAAGATCCTCAATGGTGAGAATTTGTTTAAGAGAAAAGTATTTGGGTTCACAGGACTTGAATTTTCCCCACATATTCTAATAAATAAGGATTTCTCACCAGTCTGGATAAACATATGGATTATGAGCCTACTTTTCCAAATGAAACTCCTTCCACGTGTTTTACATTAAAAAACGCTTCTCAGTAGATTTTCATGTGTGCCCAAAATTCTTAGAGGTTTGTAGACATAGAAAGTAATCATTTCTCTCACCTTCGTGGCTCCTCGTGTGGATCATTAAAGATCGATCACAAAGGAAGCTTTTCCCACACGTTTCGCACTTAAATGGCTTCCAACTTTCCTGGAGGTTTTTTTCCTCCGTATCAACCCTCAGAGGCTTTCTACAAACATATTTTACGGACTGTTCATCTGGCTCAACTTCAGAGATATTTTCCTTTTCAAACTCAGGGGTCTCTCGTTGCTTCTGGTTCAGACTGGAGTCTCTCTCTTTACTACAGCACTTCTGGTCAGTAAATGCATCTTCCTCAACGGCCAGTTGCTGTGGAATGACTGCAGAGAAAGAAGAAGGAATACATCCAATCAGATTATCATAATGTAGGTGGAAGTTTTTTTCACAGCATAACTTGGCTTTCTTCTGTATTTAAAATTAGGTGAAACTGACCTGCTGATCATTTTAATAATAATCTAAATAATTTATGACAGCTGATCAGCTGTCCAAAATGGAGAAATACGTATTAGACGTGAAAAAGGGAATGTGATTATCAAAAGTGAGATTGCTGTCCATAGTGATGTCATAGTCTGTTACTCCATATGTTTAAAACTAGTTTTATACTTTAACAAGTTTTACTCTTATTTCTATGTGAAAGGATAAGATACTTTATTGATCCGAGAGTGGAGAAATTCAATTTCAGTACAGCCCGTCCAAGATCACACAAACAGACACACAGACACAGCCTGTGGTGGAGAAAGTACTCATACAATGTACTTAAGTAAAAGTACAAATACACAGACAAAAATTTACTCAAGTAAAAGTCAAAGTACCACATTATTATTTTACTTAAGTAAAAGTAAGAAAGTACAAGCTTTTAAAACTACTTAAGTATTAAAAGTAAAAGTACTTGCCAACCATAATACCTAAAGGCTTATATAATGTCATTAAGTGTACCTATCGTATTTAGTTTCAAGAAATCAGTAATGCACCATTTTAATGAGCAATGCTGCAGATAAAGCATGTTTTTATTGTGTTTACCCCCTGTGACAGTTTAGATTTAGATATTTTATACAGGTCCTGGTACTGTGCTGCTCTTCTTGAGGGAGGGCCTAATGGTTATGTCCCGCTTTGGATTGGTTCAGCGGACTGATTCTGCTCTCGCCATTGGATACTTTCAAACTAACGAACAAATCAAAAAACCGAAATGAAACGCTGTTTAGAAATGTAGTGAAGTAGAAAGTACAGATTACTTACTGTTAAATGTAATGGAGTAAAAGTAGAAAGTATCCATTATTAAATCTACTTAAGTAAAGTAAAGATACACGGAAATTGTACTTAAGTACAGTAACGAAGTACTTGTACTTCGTTACTTCCCACCACTGGACACAGGGTTCGGGAAGACTTTGGGGCAGTACACTTAAGCCCAGATACAGTCAAATCACACATCAAGGACACATATGGGGAGGAAGGAGGGGGAGAAAATAACACCAGTCGCTCCATCGTTTTCTTTTTGTGGCCCCAAAAATAAAGTGAATTTAGTTTTAAGTTGGGTTTCATACCTATTCTGTGCAGCTGCACTCGGGGGCTCAATGTGATTTCCAACAGCCGATCGATCTCTTCCTCGTAATGGACGACGGTTTTTTCAAACTCTGTGAATATTTCTTCAGCAGCCGCAGTTAGACGCTGGCAGATAAAGTCTCTCATATGCTGAACCAAATAAATTTTGGAAGCAATCTTCAGCCCACACAGAAAAACACTGCCGGCCTCCCGTACACACTTAGCTAAGAGTCATTGTGTAGTCCGCGCCATTATTTACTTCCGGTCGGTGTTACGGACTAAATGGTCCGACGGTGGACGCCAGTTAGCTTTGAACATTTGTCATTACAGATGTTTTTGTGTTGATTACAAACTTGAATATTAAGCTGTTTCTTCAACAAAAACGTTTATGTTTGTAGTTAAACAACTTTCCACGGTTTTCCATCAGTGTGTAATGCCACAAAAACATCTGCGATTATAAACATCCACAATTTGAAGTTGAATCTGCTTTAGACAGAAAACTTAAGAATCCTTGGTTCTAGGGAAGTCTATTCGAAGATAGTAATAAAACCCAGGTTTAAAACTCGAAGCAAAAAGGAAACGCGTCAGAGGTCAGACAATAATAACCAGCAAGGCTGACTGTAAGTAAACACTTTTCACTGTAAGTAACACTTTTCCCACATGTTGTGCAGGTTTGTCTTTTAGATTTTTTGGGGGTTGTGCCAGTTGTCTTCTCATCACACTTATCCCTCAAAGACTGTTTACCAACAGATTTCACAGACTGTTCATCTGGCTCAACATTAGACTTGTTTTCTGAAAGGACAGAAATATCATCGTTGCTGTGACCCATGTCTCCATTAGATCCATTCTTTGGCTTCATTTCTGTAACTTTGCTGGATCCTTTGATTTTGTGATCTATCCCTTCCTGATTTTGCCTCTCAGTTAAGGGGGAGGTCTGAGAGTTTGGCTGGTCAGGGTCTGTGTCTTTTTTGCCAAAGTCCCATTCTTGGTGAGTGAGGGTCAACGTGAAAGCATTAGTCTTTGTCTCCACTTTAATCTGCACTCCTTTTTGATTGGTTCCTCATGTTCCTCTTTAATCTGAGGGGTTTCTGGGACCCCCTGGTTCAGACTGGAATCTCTCTCTTCATTACAGAGTTTCTGGTAAGCAAATACTCCCTTCTTCTTACAGACCTGTTGCTCCAGAATGACTGCAGCGACAGAAAAACACAAGCAGTTATTTTTTTATTATCTTATAGGAATCCAATGGAGGATCCCCACTGGTGAGAAGTTGTCTACAAGTATGTGGAATATCTGGACGTGAATTTTCCGCACATATTCTACAAGATAAGGGTTTTGCTAACCTGTCTGGTTAAACATAGGGATTATGAGCCTACTTTTCCAAATGAAACTCTTTCCACGTGTTTTATATTAAAAAAGCTTCTCAGTAGATTTTCATGTGTGCCCAAAATTCTTAGTGGTTTGTAGATATAGAAAGTAAAGATTTCTCTCACCTTCGTGGCTCCTAGTGTGGATCAGTAAAGATCTATCACAAAGGAAGCTTTTCCCACATGTTTAGCACTGAATGGCTTCAAACTTTCGTGGAGGTTTTTTTCCTCCGTATCAGCCCTCAGAGGCTTTCTACAAACATATTATAGTATATTATAGTATATTAATGATCTTTATAAATTTGATTAAATAATAAATACATGTAATAACATTGATAATTTACTTATTAAAGTATTTATGATTCTGATTACAGTCTCTATGAATGACTAAGATTTGTTTTAAATTAGATTACTTTGCAGTGGCAATAATACGTATGTATAACATATATTTATACATTTATCCAAACACCATTCAAGTTAATAAAATCGTTTTTCTTTGCAAATAATTTTATAAATCAAATGTTTGTGCACTTAATATTTTAGACGGAGTATTCTAAAGATCAAAGTCATTTTTTTTCCCTTTAAAATGTCAAACTTTTTATTGTAGACACGTCATTTAACATAATTACTTTAGTACTGTAAGTATTATTGATTATTTCAGTAGACATATTTCAGGCTTATACAGTAAATCAGCAGTGATTGCAATAAATGAAACTTTTTAATCTTTTCTATCTATAACTTTGCTTTATTTTGTACAAGGCTAGTTTTTAGGAACTCCTGGATCTTCGCCCACAGGTGCACTTCAGCTGCTGCGTGGGCTTTGGGCTCACCCCCCCAAACCACAGGAAAGCTCAGCATCCCATGCAGAGCCGAGGGGCAGTGTGGCCCATAAGGGGGCTCCAGCAGGTGTCCGGCCTTTGGGTACAACACACGCTCAAAGTTAGTTTTCCCGTGGCGTTTGAGCCTCTCCACCATGTCCTCCATGTAGGCTTTGCTGTCCCAGTTCAGGTCGTCCTCCGAGGCTGCGAAGAGGAAACGACCGGCGGCGCCTTCGATGGGGACCAGGCTGCCCTTGCTCTCCTCGTCCAGGGGATTGTCAACGGCGTACTTGATCACGCTAGCCCCAGTCTCAGTGGGAATCACTTTGCTGAAGTCAAACATTAAAGAGGAGAGGATCAGCTGACCTTTATAGTAAAGGGGGATGCCCACGTTGGCGCTACAGCCGTTGATCCAGACCACAGCCTGCACACCTGGCACAAAAGCAGCCAGTGATAGAGCGATGTCTCCTCCTTTTGATCGTGATATCACGGCTACCCCTCTGCCGCCCACCTGCAAAAATGATGTAAGTACAAGTGATGATAGAGTCTGTATCGAAGTACTGGAGTACTGCCAGGGGAGGCAAATGGCCCCAAATGGCCTTAAAGACTGAGGGTAAGGAGTCAGATGGTAACAGCCTGGGAAACAGTTTCTGAAATAACAGGAAGAGGACTTGACTTGAAACAAAATACCTCTAAAACAAAAACACCCAACACATAGGGGGAGATTTGGCACTTCATTTGACAAGTGTTAGTGGCATTTTTAACATTTTGAATAGACCTTTTGAGTGGAAAGGCATCAAATTAACATAACATAGATATTTGAACTCACATATTACATAAAAGATAAAAGATAAGAGAAGATTATAGTGTATTTATTACTAATGCTGACAGAAACAGACAAGGTTTTTTTTTTATTCCATATCAAACCCAAGCTAAACTTTTGTCTCTGTCTCTGCTAAGCCGGCCTGTGTACTTCAGGTTTAGCAGCCTGGAAACAAACAAACGAAAACAAATGACTTCAACGAATAAACTTGCCATTTGCCCTAAAACCAGCCTCTGTGAACCAAAAGGTGGGCTGATGTGGGATATGAACGCTCACCTCAGGCAGCCGCTGTAAGAAACGCACGGCTTCTTCAAAGTGGTCCAGGTGCATCTTTCTGGAGTTGACCGGCGTGTGGCCGAACACAGGCACTGCGAGAACGACGAAGCCTTTGTTGGCCAGCAGACAGGCTCTCTTCTCAGACATGAAGGTGCACAGATCCAGAACAGCTGGAAACGGGCCTCTTCCTGGAGCACAGCCAAGAGGTTTCATTTTCACACATCTGTATAGGTGTCAATCAATTCTGCATCAATCCACATGGAAAGGAATAAAAAAAAATGCAAATATAGCTTTCAGTTACTGAAATCAATTCTGCATCAATCCACATGGAAAGGAATAAAAAATATGTAAATATAGCTTTCAGTCACTGAATATCTATGTCAGTTTATTCAATTGTAAGAAGCAGCGACCAAAGACATTTCACTTTTGGCCTGTGCTTCTCACAAAAATGTTAATGGGACTATTTAGAGTTAGTTATGAGCTCAGGATAATAAAGTATCCAGACTTTAAGAGCAAAAATGGGCCTATTACCTAGACGTCTAAAATGCAGTTTACAGCAAAGCCAAATGAATATGCGTGTTCAGAATGTGTGTCTGTAATTAGGGTAAAGCTTCAGTACCTGGGGGGGTAAACAGCACTCCACACATGTTTCCCTCTTTGACAGGAAGCCGAATGACCCCGTCTCCCATCAGAAGCCTCTCATTGGTTGCCTCCGCCAGAATCCCGCCCTCCTCCTTG